TTTTTTGCGGTACGCGGGCCTCTCACTGTTGTGGCCTCTCCCGTTGCAGAGCACAGGCTCCGAACGCGCAGGCTCAGCGGCCATAGCTCACGGGCCCAGCCGCTCCGCGGCATGTGGGATCTTCCCGGACCGGGGCACAAAAACGTGTCCCCTGCAATGGCAGGCGGACTCTCAACCACTGCGCCACCAGGGAAGCCCCTACTGCCTATTTCTATTATACTATACTAAGTCTGGGCCATAAATTTTCACTAAGTCTCAAATTTAAACTGCAAACTTCAGTTTAGTATCTATTATGTCATTTACAGGATTTTACTCAGTAATTTAAAAAAACACAAATATGTTCCAAAGATTACAACAGATCTTTTGCTATCCTGTGTTTATTTTGGTGAAAGAGAAGTGAACACAGAATTCTGTCATCCTAAGATTACTCACTTTAAGGGGTGTGAAAATCTTGCCTGGCTGTTTGTGCTAAAAAAATAAACCACTTCTAAAAAATTAAAACAAAAATTGGGTGAAATGAGCCAGGTTTGTTTGGGTTTTTTTGCTTTAAGTCACATAGCTCCTAGACTCTTACAAGATTCTTAGGCTTTTTTTCTTTTTTTGTCATGCCGCAGCATGTGGGATCCTACTTCCCCGACCAGGGATCGAACCTGCACCCCCTGCACTGGAAGCGCGGAGTCCCAACCACTGGACTGTCAGGGAAGTCCCTCTTCAGCATTTTTAGGTAAAGGAATGAAATTAAATATGCAGCTAAGGTCCATCCATTCATATCCATACTCTAATGGCATTACTGCATTCTTCTCCAAATAGCTCATATTACATTATGATAAATGACTACCTAGCAAAAGAAATTCCAGAACAGTCTCACAATCTATAATAATATAAACTTCCTAAAACAAATTAGCATAACGTTTTATGTCATCTTGCCCATTTTAATTAACTTGACATTTAAATACTGAATACAATTCCATCAAAATCCAGCAAATGAATATGTGCTATAGCGTTTGCCCCTTTTATCCATTCTCAGAAGTATTTCAATACTTACCCCATGTTCCTTAGCAGCTGTGACAACTTTAAGGAGGACATCTTCCTCCACAAATGGTCTCACAGCATCATGGATAATCACTACTTCTGGCTTTGAGAGTCTACAGTTGGGCTGATCCTCTGCCAGTGCTTTTAGTCCATTGAAAATTGACCTGTGGCGGGTCACTCCAGATTCAACCAGAGAGATGCCTTTATGCTGGTACCTCTGAATAATACACTTCATTGCTTCCATGTTCTCTCCAGTTACTGCCACAACAATGTCCTTTATCCAAGATACTCTATAAGGAAAGTATGCACACATTTCGTATCAATTGATTCTTAAACAACTAAAGTTAATCTAGTAACAAAACTGAGTTACTAATTACTACTAATACATCTTCATAGGGACATTAAAAATGGAAAGCTACGAACTAAGTCAATGTTATGCATTTTAAATCATGTCTAGTAAAGGGGTTGATTAAGAATTTGAATTTCTCATACTATAGAAACATGAATATAAATAGAAGTAGTATTTTTCAATACATAGTGTGAAAGTACCTATATTGCAAAGCATAGATTAGGTATAGATATGTATCACAGATTTCTTAAGTTAAATTTAAATAATTAGTATATTCATCAGTAGACTGAGAGAAAAAATTTAAGATTATGCTTTTAAATTGCTTTTTTTTCCCCAAATAATTCTCTCCGTTAAATAGGAACAACCCAAAGCACTTTTGAATTCCACAAGTTCTGTCTCTTTCAAGAAATCCATTGATTTGGCAACAAAGCTGGATAGCTGAACTAAACTTTGCCTACATCAAGGTGAGATGTTTTAGCTTAAATAGGGAAATTATGCTAATTAAGTTTGTATAAGTATAAATCAGGCTCAAATAAAAGAGAAAACTCATATTTTAATGAAATACAAAATTAAAGGAATTCATCTGTTGAGTCAGCTACAAAACAAAGCAATTCTTCTCTGTTCTGAAACACTTTTAGACCTACTGACATACAGATGCTAACAGTCCACAGCGCTGAGTGGCAGTGGCTGCAGTAAAGTTGAGAATTCTCTTGAAGACCAGTGTTAACAGAGGCTAACATGATTATACACTCAAAGTTCCTCAGCTGATGGGCCCAAGCCAGGAAAACAGCCTCTGGCCCATGATATCAACTCTGATTAAAGGCCACTTTAAAATTTAATGGCATTCTTAGCCTCTGAGATCCTACATGTTCATGCTAGACAGTTAAGTCTTGTACTCACTTTTAAAGAGATGAAAGAAGGGTCTGAAAATTACTGAATAATGAAATTAACTATCGATAAATGAAAAACACTGGGTTGCTTCACTCAATAATTAACCATCTCCTACCTTCTGCTATTGAACAAACCCTTCCTATAACCCAAAACCCCATTCTGCCTGTGGCTACGACAGCACTACACTGATGCACACAACCAAAACTTGAGGGCACACCATCCTTTCATTTTAAGTCCATTCCTCTAACAAATATTTATTGAGCACTGAATAAATGATCAGAATTGAGTATACAATGGAAATAGTTACTGCTTTCACAGAGCTTACAGATAAAAAAGAGAACACCAACAACTCCAAGCTGCAATAAAGTGTTGTGAAGGAGAGGTCCAGGCTCCAGGATCGCATGCAGTACAATATTTGACCAGCGCAGAGAAGGCCAAGATAAAGCTCCCTAAGGAAGTAGAGTTTTCTCTTCAAGTGGCAGGAGGCAGGCAAATAGGCAAAAGGCTTTGGAGGGAGAGAGAAAGGGATGGTTTAAGCAGAGGCCGTAGCAAGGTTCTGAGAAACTAGGAGGAAATGGAGGGGAGTTCTTTAAGCACAGAGAAGAGCCCATGAAGAGCCTGGAGGACCAGACAAGTGATGGGCTGGGCTAGGCCATGGAGACCTCCAAGGCCATATTAGGGGTTCTAGTCTTTAATCTTAAAAAATAGGAATCTAGGGCTTTCCCTGGTGGCGCAGTGGTTGAGAGTCCGCCTGCCGATGCAGGGGACACGGGTTCATGCCCCGGTCTGGGAAGATCCCACATGCCGCGTAGTGGCTGGGCCCGTGAGCCATGGCCGCTGAGCCTGCGCGTCCGGAGCCTGTGCTCCGCAACGGGAGAGGCCACAGCAGGGAGAGGCCCGCGTACCGCAAAAAAAAAAAAAAAAAAAAAAAAAAAGGAATCTAGAGAAAAGCTTTATGCAGGACATTTACACTCAAATTAATACTCACCTCCCCCAGTATTCTAGTCTGTTCAATGACATAAGGGGAACTGTGGTAGGCAGAATAATAACCCCCAAATGATGTCCATGACCTAATTCCCAAAACCTGTGAATATGTATGTAACCCTACCTACCAAAAGAATTTTCTATATGTAATTAAGTTAAGGATCTTGAGTTGGAGATCATCCTGGGCTATCTGGGTCGGTCCAATATAATCACAAGAGTCCTTAACAGTGAAAGAAAAGCAAGTGAGTCAAGGGGGAAGATGTGGTAACAAATGCAGCACTCATTATGACACAGGACCATAAGTCCCAGAATGCAAGTGACCTCCAGAACCTGAGAGAGTAAATGGATTGCCATCTGGCAAGTAAATGGATTGTCCCAAGAGCCTCCAAAAGGAACACAGCACTGCTAACACCTTTATTTTAGCCTAGTGAAAATGATTTTTTGACTTCTGACATCAAAAAGCTTAAGAATGTATTTATGTTGCTTTAAGCTACTTAGTTCCATGGAAATGTTTACAGGAGCGATTGCAGCTTCTAATTTTAGAGCATAAACTTTACTCTGGTGCAAGATGGAGAACAGATTGGGCAGAGAAAGCATGCAGACAGACCAGGTAGGAAGCTGCTGCTGAAGTCCGAGCGAGACAATGATGGTAGCCTGTCTATCAGGTGGTGCTTGTGGATAAGATTTAAGAGATGGTAATCTTCCTAAATCAGAGGTAATAATCCTCCTGAGTCAGTAAGAAAAAACTGGCAAAATAAATAATTTATCACTTAATATGAAACAGCTAACATCGATTAACTTACTAAGTCTTAAGCATTAGTCATGTTCTAACTCATGTAATCCTCACACTCTATACTATCTCATATGGGAAACATCAGATGGATATGATACCCAAATACATCGTACTTTATCTTCCTATACTGCCATCTGATGCCAAAAAATACTTGAAAAAAATATTTTTACCATTTTTCATCAAAATACAATATTCCATCTTCTACAATGTAGGCTCCATGATGGCAAGGACAGTATCAGTTTTGCCCATTGCTTTACGCCTAGTAGGTACTCGATAATTATTTGTTTTATCAATAAATGATTTTGGTCTGTCTCATCTACCAGGATCTTACAACATAGCATAGTTTGAAGGATTATGAAAACAGAAAGCTCTCCTCATCAACCTGAAGAGAGAATGAAAATCAATGAAAATGCCTTCCCTCTGCAATATATTGTTTGCTGACTGTTTTGTTTCAATGAGTTTGACTCTTTACTCTGATTTCTAGATTCTAAGGCTCCGAGGATGACTGGGATTACTTATGTTTTGTCAGACACCTTGGGGGAATTTTAATCGTAAGCAAAGCAAAGCAACACCACTCACAGAATACCAGACCAGAAAATATGTAGTTATGTGAAGAGGCAATAAGGAGGATTCTGGAATATGACTAAGTGTAGGTTGCTCTTTGCTTTGTAAAATCCATCCATCCCCCACTTCTATCATGGCAAATTTAACACTGCTAGAACTTACTCTATTTACATGGTTTAAAACTTATACTGTGCTTAACCAAGTCCTTAGCAAGTGACAGTTCCTCAGTGCCCCCTAGATGTAAGGTTTCCCAAGGTTCTGTCTCCACTGGCACAGCTGTGACCCAGGCAGCCATCTCTCCCATTATTTCTGCAATAGCCTCTCAGCTTGTCTCCTCCTTCTCACTTAATCAACACAATCCACCCTACCACTTCTAGATGACTTCCCTCAAGTGTAAACCTTAGGCCATCCCCTGCTGGCTCTTGAGCAGGACCTGATCTCGGCCTTCTTCTCCCTGCACCACTTGGTCTCTGCCATGCCCCTCTTTCTGTGACCGCCACATTGTCTCACATCCAGGTCTCCGCTTATGCTGCTTCCTCTGCCTCTCAACATTATCCCCCATCCTCATAATTCCTCCACCCCCACCCACTCCTGGCTGAGTCCTACTGTTCTTCAGCTGTCAGTTCAGATGTGGCCTCCTCCAGCAAGCTTTCCTTGACATTCTGGGTGAGGCATCTCTGCTCTCAGCTCCCAGAGCACTCTTATCGCTAGAGAGTCTTATCAAGCATTGTACTGTTTCATTTTTACCTCCCTCACTAGCATGCCGACCCACAAAAAGCAAAGACTATATCCCAGGGCTTGGCATATACTAAGCTTTCAGTAATATTAATAGTAGCAATAGTAACTAAGATGTATTAATTGTTGGCTAAGTGCCATGTACTGTTTGGAGCATGTGTCTGTAATATTTCACTTAATAGTCATATCGGCCCCGAAAGAAATCACTATTATCTCCATTTCACAGACAGCACAGAGGCAGTGACCTGCCCATGATTATACAGCTAGGAAAAGAAAGGACCTGGGTATACCCCACTCTGACTTTGCAGCTCACACTATAAACCTCTGTAAAAGCACTAACACTGAGAGGTCATAAAATCCATGAGAGGAAAAAAAAATCACGTCTGGATCATCATGTCCCCAGCAATCCATTTATTTTGAACAATAATGCTGCATTTGTGGTCAAAACATGGTCAAGTTTATTTCTTAAAATTTAAGCATAAGTATTCCTTCATTCATGGGTTCATTTAGTCATTCAGAAAACATCCAGTAAGCATCTGTCATTTGCCAGACATTATACTAGTCACTGGTAATCCAATAACAAACACCAGCAGAATTCTTGACCTCACAGACTATGTATCAAGAAGTATCTGTTGGACTTTCCTGGTGCCGCAGTGGTTAAGAATCCGCCTGCCAATGCAGGGGACACGGGTTCGAGCCCTGGTCCGGGAAGATCCCACATGCCACGGAGCAACTAAGCCCGTGTGCCACAACTACTAAGCCTGAGCTCTAGAGCTTGTGAGCCACAACTACTGAGTCCACGTGCCACAACTACTGAAGCCCGTGCACCTAGAGCTCATGATCCGCAACAAAAGAAGCCACTGCAATGAGAAGGCCGCACACAGCAATGAAGAGTGGCCCCTGCTCACCGCAACTAGAGAAAGCCCGCGCAGAACAACGAAGACCCAATGTAGCCAAAAAATAAATAAATAAAA